AATATTCAAATGATACATGTCAAATTGTGAGTATTAAAAGTTAAAAATGGTAAGTTTCTCAGATGTCACAGCAGTTCTTTATAAAGGTGATAATTGATCTCATTTAAAAAGTATAGTTGAAAATGATTTTGTCAAAATTATCTAGTGGCAGAAAATTAAGCCTTAGTTACTCTAAAACACATTTTTAAAATGTTTTTTATCGTAAATAATCAGATATAAATTAGTAAAGCATCAGATATAAGATACCTTGTAATATTCCTCGATTCACTCTTGCGTTGGGATTTTCATATTGTATATATTTAAAAAAACTTATTAAATACATCAACAACAGTTTAAAATAGAAATATCTCTAACTAACCCAGTCATATTTAACCTACTGGGGAGCTCAACTCATATTTATGATTTGGCTATTTTTCTATAAATGATTTTAAAATCAATGTTTAACAAACCAAAAACATACACGTATATGAAAAAACTGCTTACATTACATAACCAACTATCACAAATTTATTAATAACGACATTAAAAACAATCACCACCCAAGGCATACGCTGAGAGGAACAGTTGTACCTACATAAGTCAACTAAAACTATAACACAACGATCATACCTTTATTTAGGACAAAAAATATGCGTATAGAGGGCTAACGGGAATAATTTAAGGAAAAAAACTAAAAATATTAATTTTTTCTTACACAAATGACTAGTATATGAAAACATCAAATAATTCGTTGTGTAGTTGTATCTTTATTTATATTTCAATAATCCAGGTATAGGCATTCCCTTCTATGGATCCTTGTTTCATGTTTATTTACTCATTCTTTATATTGTGTTTTAGGAGTACATATTATTATAGGCTCCCAACTCGCACCTATTAGCCACATTTCACGCATCATAGCTTTTCCTGTACACTTGCCTTTAAAACAGAGTGATAGAGAACTTTTATTCATAAACGTGCTGCTTCTGCTATCTGTGTTCACCGACGTGCTGATGGTTCTGCCGGTACTGCAGCGGTGCCGCGGTGGGCGCTGCCGCGTCTGGCGCGTCGTGCAATCAGATATGGGAAGGGGCAACATTGCCAGATGGACGGTATTATCGGTAGGGCAGGGAAAGAATGTCTCTGGATTAATTGGCCTGCTTAACTGACTAATAAATGTCTCTGTTGTACATATTCGCAACTAACTTTTTTATCAGAGTGTTTAGCTTGAACTTAATTCTAGATGAACTTATGACGGCGTTGCGTGAGAAGTGGAAGGTCAACCTACTTCACACCAATTTTCCCCTATAATTGATTTCTTATAATCAGTTTTTTTGATAAGAATAATCTAATTTTTATAGATCGATTTTCAAGAAATCGATTATACAAATTGTGCATTTTAATTGATTTTGGAAAACAATACGACATATGAAAAATAATTCAAGTCAGTTCAGGCTGTTCCATTTGAAACCTTGAAGGAAAAGTTTAACTTTGATTTTCAAGAATTATATTTATTCCAAATAAAACGGGAACTATGAAAATGTTTTGACACAGAACATAAATATAAAGAATATAAATTTTTTTTTATCAATCTAGTTAGAGAAGCAAAACGCCAATTCTATCTAAAAAAATTACAAGATGCCAAATCTGATCCAAGAAAACTGTGGTCAGTTGTCGATCACTTAACTAACAAAGACGTACAAGAAAAGCCAAATATTGATGAAATTAAGAATCGTGATGGAACAATATTAACAGATAAACGACAAATATCCGATGCATACTTAAATTTTTTCACTAATGTTGGAGAAAATTTAGCATCCAGTATTAAAAAAATGGTTTCGAACGAAAAGTTCACAAAAACCCAACTTCCCAATTCATTCTTTTTAGAAAGCGTTAGTCCGATTGAAGTACAAGAAGCTGTCCTATCACTTAGATGGTATCAAAGCCGACCATTTAAAAATAATAGCCTACGACTTAGCCGAACCACTTTCTTACGTCATTAATTGGTGTTTCCAATCTGGAATTTGTCCTGATGCATTTAAAACAGCTGTTATTACTCCTGTTTATAAAAGCGGTGACAGAATGGAAATATCAAATTATAGACCCATATCAGTACTATCGAATATAGCCAAAATTTTCGAAAAATTACTACAAAAAAGGATATTACAATTTTTATATATATTATATGGATTTAGAAAAGGAAAATCTACTACTGATGCAATTTTGGCTGCAATGGATGAAATTAACTCTAATGTCAACAAAAATATACCTACTATTGGTATCTTTGTTGATCTAAAAAATGCCTTTGATACGGTTAACCATGTCGACCTTCTGAAAGTTATGGAAGGATTGGGATTTAGGGGAGCGTCACAAATCCTTTTAAAAAATTACCTTTCAAGTCGGGCACAGACTGTCAAAATCACTAACACTTACAGTAAAAAAATTTACATCAAGTGTGGTGTGCCTCAAGGAACAGTACTAGGTCCAATATTATTTAGTCTCTACTTAAATGACTTATTCAATATTAACAGTTCTGGAAAGATTATGTTTTGCGGATGACACCCTCGTATTATATAAAGCTGATGACTGGAGCACACTGAAGCAAATAGCTGAAAAGGATTTTATAAGGATCATTGACTGGTTTGATACTAAAATTTTAACAGTTAACTTCAAAAAAACAAAATTTATTGCATTTACATCCTATTCAAAATTTTTACCTACCTTCGAACAAATTTCCGTTAATTATCATGGCCAAAAGACCAAATCGATAGAGTTAACACTTTGAGATATCTTGGAATATTTATAGACTCACATCTAAGGTGGGATAACCATATTAAATATGTTATCAAAAAAATTTTAAATGTTGCCTATAAACTCAAAATGCTTGCTAGCATTCTTACAGAAAGTTATCTGCGAATCCTATACCATGCCTTAGTTGAAACCCATATAATATACGGCATCACAGCCTGGGGTGCCGCCTGCAAGACATATAAAGGGTGTCCCAAAATTAACGCAAGATTTGAATTTGCCGCCATTTGTGCAGTGAAGTGTTGGCAACCCTGAAAAAAAGCAATTTGACAGCTAACAGTATAGGGTTATGAAAAATGGAGCGTTACACGATAGAACAACGTGTCTTCATTATTAAAGAATATTTCAAAAATAGTGAAAGCTTGGCGGCTGCAGTTCGAAAATTTCATACAAAATATGGCCGGAATAGTGTTTTAACTTCGTCAACTGTGAAGAGATTAATTGAAAAATTCATGGAGACTGGATCCGTTGGAGACGCCAAACACACTGGTCGTCCAAAAACAAGCCGTTCAAATGTGAATATCGAAGCAGTGCGTGAGAGTGTTGCGGACAATCCAGGAACCTCAATTCGACGTCGTGGACAAGAATTGCAAATGTCAAGAACCTCTCTACAGCGTATACTCACCAAAGATCTGTGTCTTCATGCTTACAAACTTCAATTAACACAACAATTGAAGCTTAATGACCATGCAGAGAGAAGAGAGTTTGTTGAATGGATTATTGAACATCAACAAATGGACCCTGATTTTTCAAGCAAAATCATCCTAAGCGATGAAGCACATTTTCATCTTGATGGCTTTGTCAATCGCCAAAATTGCCGCATTTGGGGTTCGGAGAACCCACGTGTGATTGTCGAAAAAGAAATGCACCCACAACGCGTGACTGTCTGGTGTGGATTTTGGGCTGGAGGCATAATTGGGCCATATTTTTTTGAAAATGATGCTGGTCAAGCAGTGACTGTTACTGGTGCTCGATATCGCGACATGATTACACAGTTCTTTCTGCCAAAATTGAATGATATTGATGTACCCAATATGTGGTTTCAACAAGACGGTGCCACATGTCATACAGCCCGTGAAACAATTCAATTACTGCATGAGATATTTCCCGGTCGTGTACTCTCTCGTTTCGGTGATCAAAATTGGCCTCCTAGATCGTGTGATTTAACACCATTAGACTTCTTTTTATGGGCTTATTTGAAATCACAAGTCTATGTCAACAAGCCCACAACCACCCGTGCATTAAAGGAGGAGATTCAACGCTGCATCAACGAAATTCAGCCACATTTATGCAGAAGGGTCATGGAAAATTTCGACAAAAGAGTGCGCATGTGCATGCAAAGCCGTGGAGGCCATTTGTCCGATGTGTTATTCCATACATAACCCTATCCTATGTACTTTATGAGTCAATAAAAATATAACTATTAAAAGACTAAAAATGGCATTTTCTATTTAATTCAAATCTTGCGTTAATTTTGGGACACCCTTTATTTCTGACCTGAATATAGCACAAAAAACTGTTTTGAAAGCCATTTTCCATAAGCCAAGATTATATCCAACGAACAACTTATATCAAGAAACAGAGATACTTGATACAAGACAACTTTATTTCTTACATGCCACCACCTTATACCATAAGTATTGTAATAAAAAGAAAAAATCCTAAACATGAGCATAACACACGATTTCGAATAGGCTCATCTAATATCCAAAGACCACACAAAACATTATTCAAAAAATCATTTAAATTCTTAGCCGCTAAATTATATAATGTAGTACCAAACGAAATAAAGATACTTAATTTTGGAAAAAAAATTAGAAGAAAATTGAAAGACTGGGTTAGTAATGTGCAGCGAATGACTATACATAATTATATAGAAAACTAAAACTACAAAATTCCAATTACATTAATACCTTTTAGATTTAACAATAATTGTTATACATATATATGATTGATTGTTAGTTATTAAGATATAAACCACACACATGCGATGCCTTATGTGGTTTTTTCATATTTATTTGCCCATTTTTTGTATTTTAGCGAATAAATATTATTATTATTATTATTATTATAGTAGTGTCTCCCAAACTGAGGAAGCTTTAAACTGATAAAGGTGAAAGTTTTCCACATGGCAGGACTAGTCCTATAAATTTCGACGCGCCGGAAAAACTGAAACTTAGCGCTCCTTATCAAGAATGTTTCGATTTTAGTGGGGTTAGGAGGATTATGCTTAAAACACTTCCCTTTGCAAGGAAATTCATAATATCGAGTTGACCCCTATCTCCAGGGAAACTACAAAAAAGCATAATAAAGAAAAACCAAACCGACTTATTAGCTCAACACTTTTGTAGATGAACTATACGTTGGAGCTAAAGGAACAGCTTCAGGTTGGGGTACGTTGAGAGAAGATGGAAAACCTTCGTGCATCCTCCAGAAGGTAGACGTTCCTGTTATGAGTAACAAAGACTGCAGAAATACAAACTATTCGTCCAAAATGATATCAGATAACATGTTGTGTGCTGGGTATCCAGATACAGGGAAAAAAGATTCGTGTCAGGTAAGCTTAATTTACTAAATGTCTATCATAACACCGCATTTTTATCTAATTTTTGGTCTGACTTTCGCCGATATCACGTTATCACAATATACATTATATTTTCTCTTGAATGTTACGCCTAACTTATCGAAGAAAAGTCCTTTAGTTCTTTTCTCGTTTTCATTATTTTGTACCATATATCATTATTTTCTAGGGTGACAGTGGAGGACCCTTAGTGACAAAGAAACGCAATTCCAGTAGATATGAAGTTATAGGTAAGATTAATAGGGCCATTTTTGTCTTTACTATATGATATTAACGGGCTTCTCATAGTAGATTTCATCATTTAGATGACGAATAGTACAGGGAGGTCAAAAAATCGAATGAAGATTAGATTTTACAAAACATTGTTCCAGATAGAAGCCATTTTCATTTCATCAAATAAAGCATTGAAAATAAGGTTGATTTGAAAATTTAGTGCTTTCCGGGATTTATGGAAATACTTGTTTTTCTCTTGCTTGAATGTCCCATATGCCTTTTGGAATCAGTAATTCTCAGTTGGCCATGACGTGGTAGCACGAAGACTAAAGGTAGGAGGATAAAATCATAGATTGGGGACAAAATCGGTAGTAGGAAAAAATCAAGGCCGACACAAAATCGGCAAAGAATCGAATACACTTGCGTCGTCTATTGAAAATAGGATATTTTATATCGCGCAACACAGGTCTTTCCGTTCCTTTGCAACTACTCTGGAAACTCATTTTTCTGTTCTTATTTATAAGATTTTTCTGTTTAAGGCGGCTCCGACGCAGTGAGTTTCAAGCCATTTACAAGAGTTCAGCTGCTTCAAAAATGACTCTCCATTTTTCAATATTTTTGGATGAAATTCATACAGTATGTTCGGAAGATAATTGCCCAGGGTGCTATAGGAGCACTTTTTGAAATTTTGTTTTTGCACAAGATTTATGATGGGTTGAAGTGCGCACTTTTTCTGTTCAACTTCGCGATTTTTTTAAAAACAATCTAGTGAAAAAAATGAAAAAGTGGCTCTATAGCACCTTGTGGGGTTTTGTTTTCAGCACACTATGAAAATTTCATTCAAAAGTATCAAAAAATAAAGCGTCAATTTTGAAGCGCGGAAACCTCTACAAATCGTATTTTCGACGAATTTTGTCTACTGTTTCGTGCTGCCAACCCAAGCGTTGCGGCGCAATGTACGGACTAAGAAAGGACTTATTCAGATAATTTGGTGGCCCTATTTCATATAATATCGCGTAGATAAGTCGTTCTGCAAATAGGTACTCATAATCGCGATCGCTGATACTCCTCGATTTTAAAGCCGTTTTACTTCCCACGTCATTGGCGAGGAAGTATCGCAATCGCGAAAAATTTCGAAAATGAGATGTTATGTTTTTTTAAGTCACATCACGAAAAACTGTACCACTCATTAACTTGGAAATAACCGCTCGGATTTTTATGAAATTTCCACACGAGGTTACTAGTATGCCAACGCTTTGTAGTTTAAGTCCAGTGGCAACGGTGCTATAGGCAAAAAAGAAAAAGTAACAATTGCTGAAACTCCGTTTTTGACGTTACAGGGGTTCCTTATCTTTGACAGAAAAAAATTGTACTGCTTAAAAACTGGGGGTTGGGGAAGGTGATTCTAAATGTTGCATCTTTGGTATCAGTGAAACACGTTCTACTATTAAGAAGCTTCTGATCCCAGGGATTACAGGAAATTTAAGTATCGAAAATCCGACGAATAATGTGCTCACGATTTGAAAAAATCGGTACCTGCTCTATAGGTTTGACACCAAGAGCCAACAGATCTATCTACAACTGCCGACAGTAGGGAAGAATGAATTCGGATATCACTCCAGTCAAGTATAGGGGAATTTAGCGTGGTACTTTAAAATTATCGTTATGTCAAGGAAATATGTTTTTGAGAACGATAATTTGGTAGATTTTAAACCTGCATTTTCATTTGAATTTCATGACCCGTGAAATGTACACATTTCGCCGTTACGTTCAACTTGTGTTCTGCAGTTTGTGATGTTTTTCTGGATATAACCAGGACATAATTGCCTAAGGTGCTATCAGAGCGTATTACAAAATTTTCTCTTTGCGCAAGAATTATGGTGGGTTGATTTGTGCTCAACTTCTTGATATTTTAAAAAGATCCTAGTGGATAAAATGACAAAGAGGATCGTTAGCACCCTGCGGACTTTGTTTTTAGCACGCTTCAAGAGTTTCATTTGGAAATAATAAAAAATGAAACGTAAGCTGTGAAGTGCAAATCGGTTTTTGGGCGAATTTCGTCTACTGTTTCGTCCTGCCAGTCCAAGCGACGCGACGGTGCGTTCCGACTAAGAAATAATGTATTCAAATAATTTGATATCCTTCCTAAAATAAATTCAAGAACTCAAATTACAATTCGTTTATTCATATCAGGAAACACAATTATGTTTACAAGGGTTATGTGGTACATGGTAACAATTGAATGAGAGTCATAAAAATATCACATGGCGTCCAAATTAGAGGAAACAGTTAGGTAGTTTTTGCAAATCAATAAACAGGTAGGCTTATACCTGGATTAAGTACATTTCTTGTCTACTGTAATAGGTAGATGGAGGCGATGCTGCCAGAAATGGATGTGTGTGATCAATAAACAAACCACAAGACTGAACTGCGGTGTCCAATGATTTTTGTATTGCCTTTTTTATTGCGTTACTAGAAAACTCTGTTGGGTATGTGATGGAGTTTTGTGGCTTACTACAGCTGCAGCACATCTTCCATGGTATGACCTTTTCTTGCAATAATTGATTCGCTTACCCCAATGTATTTTGAGATTATAGAATTGAACTGCTCCACACTATTATTGACCTCATCATGAATTAAACTCACTGCATTCGTAATTAAAATGGTCGCATATGACCCTTTATTGTCCATTATCAGCCTTGATAAAAAAAGGCACTCAAGACCAATCACACCAACAACAAGTCAACAACACAATGTCGACGAACAGTAACAAGAGGAGAAAAATACTAAATGATCACTTGCTGAGTACCAAAATAAAAAACGATTTACATTCTAGATAGCTAATCGAATTCCGTCTCTGTTATTATAAAAATTTACCTTGGTGTGCACCCGCAGTCATCCTTTCCTCTTTTAAAGTAGCGCCGACGATCGTCTAGGCCCAGCCCACCTTCGTTTCCTTTTCACCCCCCCGTCACCACATCAGATGGTGCTCGTGATTGTAGGAGCCCCGTTAATCCATAAACTTGACATTTTAATTTAATATTTAATTAAGAACAGACGAGCTTTGGTTTCCTTATTGATTGTCCGGTGCTGCGGTAATGACGGTGATCTAATAGCATGTACCCATTATATGTCCAAAAACCAATACAAGGAAGGAAAACGGAGTAAGGGATCTGCGTACATAATTATAGGTAATCCAAGTCTATGTCGCAACTGCCTACGTTTACATGTATGTATATGATTGATACGTGTTATACTGAGTGACCAAAAAAGGTAAACACCTACGTATGTTTATCCGATTTTAATTATTTTTGGCATATATTATGTTCAAATTCAAATTCATATTCAAAATATTTATTTCGTCATGAATAAACATCCTAAACAAAGGAAATTCTACAATATAGAGCAATGACGAAAAAGGACAGTCTCTCGATTATAAAACCGGTACATTGGACCCTTTAATACAAAGAGTCCATGCGAGAAAGCCCTGAACGCCCTAAAAATCCTTAAACAAACAACAAACAAAAAAGAGGCAAATGAAAAGGCGGTGCAACACAAAAAGGCAAAAACGAAGAAAGAACCCCCGGGAACTGGCAACTGACGCGAAGAACAAATCTATACAACTTGTCAGCGAGTAGGAATGTAAAAACGATATTTTTGCTCACACAAACGCTGCTAAAGTAGCTGGTCATTCTGTAACAACGTTTTAGTCAGCTTTGAGAATGTTTTTGACGATGAGCTTTTAACTGAAGTTCGTCAATTATTCCATAAGTGAACCGCCATATAAGCAAACGATCGTCGAAAGGAAGGCGTTCTATGCCTAGGTACGATAAAATTGAGATTATTTCTGCTCCTCTGGGCACGATGCAAAGGCACAAATTTTTCTCTTAAATAGGGTGGTTGACCTGTTTTTATAACCCTATAGATAAAAGAATACATGTGATATTTTCTGCGATTCGTCATGTTTAATATGTTGTAGTTATTCAGATAAGGAGTGATTCATTACTGTTTTTATTCAAAACCATTACTTGCGATTTTGAGGGGTTTAGTTTAAGATTGTGATGATTTGCAAATCTGTCAATACTTTGGAGATCTGAATTTAGTTGTTGTTGTGCAATATGGATTGTGGTTTTATTGAAAGATATATTTGTGAGTCATCTTCATATTGTTTTATTTTTGCGAATTTCACCGATTTGACCATGTCAGATATGTAGATTGAAAATAGCAAAGGAGATAAAATTGAACCTTGAGGAACTCCTCTTTTTATAGGTTTAAAATCGGTTTTGTAAATAGCGGAATCATTTGCTAACATAACACAGTTAGAACGGTTGCTTAAGTATGTTTTTATTAGATTTACGGAGCTCTGCGAAAACCCCTGGTAATGTAACTTGGCTAGTAACATTTCATGATTCAGAGTGTCGAACGCTTTTCTTCTTATATTTTGAGTTATCCAGGGTTCATAAGGTTTTTCGGTTTGTCTATAGGCAGTCTGGAGACGGTCTCAAGACACGATCTATAGATCGTCTACAGACATCCTTCTGTGTCTTGTCTAGCATCCATACGATAATGTGAATTTTTTGGTTTCATGTTCGTTTTCGCAATCAAAGGCATTGTTTTGTGTGGAATGGACTGGGATATGTCTCGAGGTCCCTCAGAATGTTTTATTTATTTTTTGTCGGTTAACAGAGCAATGAAGTTTTTTATGTATGAATCTTTAATATTATTACACTAGTTAATTATAAATGCCATGTACTTATTTTGTTCTAATATAATAAAATATTGGCTTTCTGAGGATTTCTGAGGAATTTCCATGTTTTTTTTTCAAGCTGGCTTGACCAGATAGAACACAATGGATTTAAGGAGCAATAATAGGATAAATTCTAGAAGTTCTACTGAGATTAAAAAGTGACCAGCCCCAAATATCGTTTGCGCACCCCCCCCCCCCCCTAGACGAAATCCTGAATCCGCTCTTGTGTATCAGTATTACAAGTGCAGTGCGGACAACGCCATTGAGTCCCACCGTTGGATGTACTGATCCGATTCGACTGTGGTACTATTCGTCATTATTGGTCAGAGCGGTGGACCTTTGCTCTTAGTTAAAAGTCTCGTCGGTCTGTTAGGCTGTCAGGTCTGGCTACCCAGATACCAAACATGTTTAAGGGGAAAAGGGAAAGAAGGAAAGAAAGGAAGGAAGAAATAGAGCAAAGAGAAGAAGTAAATCATTTGACATAGCTTAAGCATTATTGCTTTGACTACTCGAATTATTTTGTAACTCCAAAAAATAATTTTGATCGGTTTTGTATACTGAAATAATTTTTGCTGGTTTGAATTTACAATTTAATTTTGATCACAGTGCGAGGCGCGGCCTGGAATGTTTGCGAACTTGCTCGACTGTGTAGTCTACTGAATCACGTAACAGAGGGTTTCTGTGCGATTCCGCTTGATTATAACGCAACTGCGCCTGTTGTTTTACGTAATCCCTTAAATATAGGATATCAAGATCTCTGTGAATAGTCTCATTTGACACGTACCAAGGGGCGTTAGTAATTGTGCGTAGGGTTCTGTTTTGCAGGACTTGCAGTCTCTGCATGTGCGACTTGGCAAGAAAACACCAAGCCTCGCATGCGTAGGTGATTTTGGGTCTTTGACCATTTTATACAACCGAATCTTGTTGATCAAACTTAATTTTGAATTTCTGCACAACAGAGGATAAAGCTGCCGAAAGGATATTTGGAATTTTGTTTTCCAAATATCAGTATGTTTCTGCCAGGTCAATCCCTTGTCAATGATGACTCCAAGATACCTGACAGATGATAAATGCAGGTTGTCTATTGTACTTAGCCATTCAATTACTGCGGAAAGATTGCCTGCAATGCCTGAGTGGCGCTAATCAGGGGACTTATTATTTGTTGAAGGGACCTAAGCGCAGTTGCTAGGTCCACATTCTGCGTGTTCAAAGTGGGTTGAACAGAGGGGGCAGCCGAAGATGTTGAGACGGCAGCTTCCGCGTATGACTTGCTGCGTCTTTGCGCTATGACTTCCAGATTTTGCCTGGAGGTGAATCTGCAAGTGGGACTGTTAGCGGGATGCGCCCCTCCACAGTTCGCACACTTTCGCGCCTCTTGTCCTGTGAGGGGGCATAAATGTGTCATGTGGTCGGAAGCACATTTTAAACATTTGGAAGGTGCTGTGCAGTAAGACTGCGCATGGCCATACCTTTGGCAGCGGTGACACTGCCCAATAAGTCTAGAGTTCTTTTGAACTTCAACTTTGATTGCTAGACCCAGCAGCTCATGTTCATTAAACAGCTGCTGGGACTTTTAAATCTTGGGCAGTATCACGACCACCAAAGGCATGGGTGCGCCGCCACTGCGTTTGAGTCGGATAATGTGGAGAGGAGTATATCCCCTCTGTTCTAATTCCCCTTTGATCTCCTGTTCCGAAAACATTGCGGGTAGTTCTCTCACTACCGCGTAAATATTTCGTTCTGAAAGAAAAGGGAACGTATGATGGGGCACGTCCTCCTCCCTGAACAGGAGAACGATTCTTCGGTAGTCATCCTGATTCCCACATCAACGGCAACTGCGCGTTCTATCTTAATGCCTAAGCTTATAAAGGTGTAGTTTAGATGTCGCCACTTGGTCGCATCACGCAAAACAATGGGCGTGATTCGCCCCTGGCGGGGTGCTGTGCTGGTCACCTCACCAGCAAAGTGAGATTGTTGAGATAATGCACCGTCAGTCGATGCAGTGGCCAAAGATTGAGAAGATGTGGTGGCTGCATCGACCGTCATAGGACAAGTGGCAGACGAGGTTGATATGTTTAATGAAGCAGAAGGTTTTGAGGGGACTGTCAACTTGAATTTTGATTTTGCCTTTGGAAGAGGTGGGACGTCATCCCTCTTGTCGGTTTTGTTCGTTTTGTCGATGCGTCTTTTCCTAGACTTGGCCTGGATGAAACCGTCATTCTGTATTTCATCATCGGTCGATGTCACGTCAGTTAAATTTTCAAGAGGTCTTTTTAAATTGACAGCCTTGTCAGATTTAGAATTAAAATTTGCATTATTGATTAACTGTGTTACCTGGGTGGTCAGGCAGTCTATTTTACTGTTTTGATCCCTAACTGTATCAGTCAGCTCCTTTATTTGCTGGGCCTGGCTTTCGATGATCAGGGTCTGGCGCTGGATGGTTCCGTCCTTTTCGTCTGCTACAGCTAGTGTCATCAATTCCTTTGATTTCATGGTCTCAGTCAGCTCCTTTATTTGCTGGGCCTGGCTTTCGATGATCAGGGTCTGGCGCTGGATGGTTCCGTCCTTTTCATCTGTTACAGCTGGTGTCATCAATTCCTTTGATTTCTTGGCAATTTCTGTTCTCTCTTTCTGGCTGGGTCCATTCATCATCGGGGACTTTGACCTCCAGAGTCTATCTCCATGTTTTTAAATCGGGTTTTCTATTGAAAAACTTGAAAACTTTCACGAGCAAAAATATGACGTATTGTCAATTATCCCTTATACAGGGACTTGTGGTGTCAGGCCAGTTGGGCCTTTTTAAATCTTATCAAGTGTCACATTGCCATCTTAGTCGTACTGCAAAGGGAGGGTCCGGTCCTTCTGAGCATAGCTGATCTGTTTAATGTGGAGTATCCAACAAGGGCTCAGTGGGACTCCGGAAGTCGGAAGGTCTCCGAAGGGGAAGGGCGGTACTGTTACACGGACGGCTAGGTCGCTCTCTGGAGCTGGAGTCTTTGGGCCTAGAACTAGGCTACCTCTGCCTATCGGTGGCGGAAATATTTTTGATTCTGGTTTGGCTGTCCCGCATTTTGAAGGGGAAGGACCTAGGAGAAGAATAACAATCTTCTCCGATAACCAGGCTGCAATGAAGGCTCTAAGTGCCGCCTGCAAGATTAGAGCATTGTATTGCAATGTATCGTTAGTGTGGGTATCGGGACACGTTGAGATAAAGCTGACGCTCTTACAAAAGCAGGATCAGCGAACAGGCTAGCTGGTCTTGAGCCAGCCTTAGTGGTACCCGCGCAGAGTCTGGAGAAAAATGGAGAAGTGGATTGCAAGACATCACTTTGCTTGCTTATCTTGGGGTAGAGCCAACCTAAGGTTGCTGGTGGGACTGTTGTCTGGCCATACGTTGGGGCGTCACCTGCATGAGATGGAGGTGGCTGAGGATCCCTTGGGTGAGCGCTGCGGGGTAGAGAAGGAGACTTCGGTGAATTTTCTGTGTCACGGTGAGGCTCTGAGTTACTACAGGCAGACTAAACTGGGGGTCCATCACTTTGGACCCTCAGAACGTTAAGGAGCTGGGACTCAAGGCTATACTCAACTTTGCTAGAAGGACGGGGCTAAGGAAATGTAGGGGTGCATAAGTGCCCGCTTATGTGGCCTATGCGCCGGCTCCTCACGGTGTCCGGTATGCCTCTAATTTCATAATTCATTCATTCATTCAAACCCAAATTTTCATAATTGTCTAATGTAGACTTTTCGAGTAATCGATCGCTGTGTTGCTACGTGGGACACCTTATATTGGTGTGTCTTGAAGTTATTTTCGTAACGTTGGACTTTAATTTTAAAAATTTGTTGTTCCAGGTATCGTGTCATGGGGCAACGGATGTGCTAGGCCAGGTTATCCAGGTGTCTATACCAGAGTGACACAGTACCTTGACTGGATCAAGCAACACGCCGCAGATGGATGTTTCTGTGAAGACTGAAATTGTAACACAACAAAAATGTAGAGCAAGCGTTCAGAGAGGCGATCGCTTGTCATTGGCAACAATTAGTTTCTAAGCTTCAAACATTGACCTATGATGAACTTTAAAAAAATGCTCAGGTCCTGTCAAGTTATAATAAATGCCATAAGTGATACAGTTTTTCATTCCATTACAAGTTTTTATGTGTTACTTTTATCCGACTTAACGCTATATCTCGCATGATGAGGTACCAGTTAAATGAGAATACAAAATTGGTAGATTTTAAGTGTTTATTCCATTCAGACAGTGTTTGGACGGCTTTTTGCAGAAAAACAATTATTGAGCAATTAGGCTTTAATGTTTTGACAATGATAACAAGATCATTTCAGACCAAACACGATTTTAATTAATGGCTAAAGGCTAAAGGATTTAAATATGTGTATGAATCTTTTTTACAGTAAATGGTAATGCTCGTAATACTTTATTTTCCTAAAATCTAGATTTTTCATATTTAGTGGGCTGGTTCCATTCTGCAAAAAGCCGTAAATTTCTTTTAGATATCCTGTCCACTTTTCATAGTAATATGGAGTCTCTAACCAGACAATAAGTCTATTGAATAAAAAAAAAATTGTCTTGGAAGTCAAATATTATAAAGATAAGTTGATACTTATAAACACAAGGTATTTCTCATTTTCATTTGAATAAAATTAAGTTTATTCTTATAAGTTGAATTTCCTACATTTAAGTTTTTCCTTATAAGCCTTTACCTATTCCTTATCATAATTATAAGTATTCACTTGGATACAGGTGTTAACAGTTGCGCTTGCAATATCTTTTTGATACGGTGTGTACAATGCTAGTTGCCGATCAAAATTTAGAGGTATTGCTATAATTATGTCATCGAGTGAGAAAGAATTACCTGTCCAGGTTGGCTATCCGAGGCTTATAATCGCCAGGTTCTTTTGCGTCACTATGGCTTTAAAGGATCAGTATTACACATTTTACAAAATTATTTAGTAAATAAAAGTAAAAAAAACAGAGTTAGAAATATTATGTCAAGTGTTCAAAATATATCAGTAGGAGTGCCACAGTGGAGTAAATTAGGGCTGTTACTATTTATTATGTATATAAATGATATCTCTCACATTTTAGAACACTGTAAAATTCAAATATTTGCGGTCATACACTTATATATACGTATATATATATAGCACATAAGCATTTGGACACTGCTTTAGAACTGTTAAATAGTGATATTGAAAAATTATGAATTGGTTAAATGTCAATAAACTTAAACTAAACACTAATAAAACAAAATGTATGTTAATAGGGAAACATTTAGGTCACGATACAATTAGGCTCATGATTAATGATGAAAAAATTAAAGTAGTCGAGTCATTTAAATATCTTGGCATATATGTGGATAGTAAGCTACTGTTTCACGAACATTACGAAAACATTATTTAAAAAGATCGAAAGAGATGAATTGCTTCTATAGAGTTTCCCATAATCTTAGTATGTACTCCAAAAGAATAATAACACTATAACTCTTCCCCATTTTTTATATTGTTCAAGCATCTTGTTTACAGCAAATGAAAACATATTTTCAAAACTACAAATTCTACAAAATAAAGCTATGAGAATCATTTTAAATAAAAATAAATCTGCTAGGATTAAGTCTATATTAGAAGAACTGCAGTGGTTGGATGTGAAAAATTTCATATATTATTTAGTTCTCGTTTCCATATTCAAATTAAAAAATCGATTTATTACCACCACATTTAGAGAACTTCACAAAATTAAATAGTTGTTATCATAACTACGAAACTAGAGGTAGTGTAGATTTTCATCTACAAAATTGTAATAGTAGCATAACTAGTAAATCTATATTTCAAAAGGGAGTATTCGAATTTAATCAATTGAATAATGATATTAAACAGAGCTCGAATTTGAAAATGTTTAAGGTGAAATTAAAGAATCACTTTATGAATAATCAAAATGCATAGTGACGTAATTTTAATTTTAATAGACAAGAATGTAAAATTACAGAAAAAGAATTGAAGAAAAATATGTAACCGAATCATTATACAAAATTGACATAGCATTAATGCTAAATAAATCTTCAACAACAGTAACAAAAATGATTCGATCGATTGTTCAATGTAAAAGAAATGCATGGACGAATATCAAATACCAATTTGTCAAGACTTCTGGTACAAATATTACCACTAAGAAATTGAAAAAAAAAACTCAATAACATGAAAACAGATGTAAAGAAAGAACTGATAAAAATACGACTGGTAACAAAAAAATAAGCAACGTGAGTGGGAAAATGAATTCTTGGAAATACTGAATTATGAAAAAAATCTAGTGTTCCTAGTGGTTGTTCCATTGGAAGAAACAACGGAAAAACAGATACTCCTGAAAATAATGGATCAACTAGTATGAGCTTACAGTTACCTCCTTTACCTACGGAAACGATAGACAAGCGTCCAGGGAAGAAAACATTCAAGCAAGAAACTGAAAAAACCGAAAACTTGTCAACACAAAAGTTACAGCGACAACAATTAACCCTTTCGATACTAACAGGTTATATACGTATAGATCCCAGCAAAAATTCCTTCATCTAATTACGCATTATTAAATAACAGTAGATGCATTCGGATTACTGTAGGGACATATACGTCCCATACCGATGTTTGTAAATACTATTGGGTGCTATATCAATTTAAAACGTATTATGCATTGTCCCAGTCGTAAGGTGGGTTTTGTCTTAGATACTATTAGCAGAAAATTATATTTCGAGGTTAGGTTGTGGCATTATTCTGCAATTTGTAAACAAGGGCACTTGTGATTCCCCTTTGCTTGTGAATTTTTTGCTTCGAATTCGTTCAAATGGGATTAAACAACATGGACAGGTAAGTAGTTAAGTATATTTAGGAGTATGTATAATTATTTATAATTATCTAAAGAAAAACATCGAATTTTTATGGGTGAGACTCCCAACAGTAATGTATATACAGGGTTATCCAAATTAAGTGTCCACCATTAGTAACTTTGTTATTAGTGAAAATACAAAGTTGTTTGAATTAGCAAACTAGTAGCATTTTTAACGCTGGTAAAAATGAGAAATAAAAAAAAACAATTGAGAGTCGTTATTTTGATTTTTTTCAGTAAAATAATATTTTTTTAAATGGAAACCCCTGTATATTATATTTTTTTCTGTTAAAGCATCAAATTTTAAACAAAAAAGTTCATAATGACTTTTCCGCTAAAGTCAAAAATAAAGTCAAAATAACGATAAATATTTTTAATTATTTGCAGTATTATAATATTAAGACGGCTATGAAAACAACATGGCGTTCGCGATTTGACAGCATTAAGATAAGCGACAAATTGTTAAACTGGACATACTCGCAACTAGAAGGCTTTGGAAAACAATGATAAAATCAAATAATGTCAAACATTAGTGTAAATACTTGTTTATAAGCTTTATTGTGTCATTAATTTAAAGAAAAATGTTCTCCCATGAAGAAAAGTGTGATATGTTAGAATGCTATTTAGTGTGCAGAAAATCCTCCTTGAGAGCAAGAGAATACTACAGTGAATTATGTATATCCCGCTCGCATTCAACCGTATGAACGATATTTTCTGAGACTTTATCGAAAATTTAGGGGCAACGAAAATGTTTTTGCTAAAACAAGGGCAAAAAAAGAATTCATAATAAGCGAGGCCACGGAAATTGCAGTTATTGGATATTTTGAAGCTTATCGTGAGAATTCAATAGCAGATATTCTCAAGGACTCTAATTTCAGTTATGGTACTGTTCAAAGGATTTTAAAAAAATACAAATTTATTCCGTATAAGTACCGACCAGTTCAAACGCTTTTGGCAGGGGATCCAGAGAGAAGACTTGTTTTTTGCCATTGGTATCTTAGCTTCTGTCGCCAAAATGTAAATAACTTTCGTTACCTTTTATGGACAGATGAATAAAATTTTTCAAATTCTGGAATGTTTAATAGAAAAAACCACCATTATTGGTCAAGAGAAAATCTTTTGTTAGTACATCCAAGAGGCCCACAAGTCCGTTTCAGTTTCAACGTTTGGTGCGGTATAATTGGTTCAAAAATTGTTGGCCCGTTCTTTTATGAGGGAACCCTAACTGGTGAAAGATATGTGGAATTTATGTCAGAAATTCTAACTAATTTCTTAGACGAATTGGATCTTATAAGTAGACATCATCTACATTTTCAGCAAGATGGCGCACCTGCCCACAACTCCAGAGGTACTTATCATTTTCTAAGTACTACTTTTAATGATCAGTGGATAGGAACAAATGGCCCAATACAGTGGCCTCCCAGATCACCAGATCTAAACCCACTTGATTACTTCTTGTGGGGTTACTTAAAGAACCAAATTTACAAGCGAAGGTACGATAACCTTGACGCGTTAAAGACTGCAGTTAGGGAAAAGATAACCCAGATTGATGGTAGGACCATACTTAAGACAGTTCGAGCAGTTGAAAAACGTGCCCAAAAATGTATTGAAGAACAAGGTGGTGTTTTCGAGCATCTTCTTTAAAAAAAATTGTTATTGTATTTTGTAAGATTATAAGTTGATGTTGAAAATAAAGTTTGTCGATACAATTTAATTGTTTCAGATTGGAGGCCATAACTTCAACAATTTGTAACCTAGGAGAAAAGTTATTGTGAGCTTTTTTGTTTAAAATTTGATGCTTTAACAGAAAAAAATATAATATACAGGGGTTTCCATTTAAAAAAATGTTATTTTACTGAAAAAAATCAAAATAACGACTCTCAATTGTTTTTTTTTATTTCTCATTTTTACCAGCGTTAAAAATGCTACTAGTTTGCTAATTCAAACAACTTTGTATTTTCACTAATAACAAAGTTACTAATGGTGGACACTTAATTTGGATAACCCTGTATAGTCAGTAGTTAGTATAGTGTATAGTTAGTATAATAATCAAATTATACCCATTTGTAAGGACATCACAATGCAGTCAGCAGCAAATCCCATATAAATACGTTTGGAATATTTATGATATTACAAATTGATATAATTTTGACTATAAGCGTTACTATTTTTGCATAGGTCTCATTTTATCTTTTTATTTTCTAGAAAAAGAGCGTTAACTGCTAAAGAACCTGAAGAAATTGAGCGGAAAATAAATAAGTATGGGTTGACTGACGATTCGGATGTTGTAGAACCTTTTCAAGACTCCGGTTCCGAGTATAAGTCAGAATCGTATATTTCATCTGAAAGCGATCTGGAGCTTCCTGACCGTCGTACTACACGTAAACGCAAAAGGAGCAACCAACAGAAAGGTAAAAACGATTTGCCTGATGATGAAATTCTTAGCGTAGAGCCTAATTTAGCGGAGATTGAAGTAGATCCTAACCCCATCAGTAAGAATAATATTCACTGGAACACTAGTGGATCTTCATTTATTCCTGCAAAGAGTGTACCTACCGCGCATGTTATTTTACATGCAGATATTACTCATAAATCATCTGAGCTCCAGTGTTTTTTGAAATTGGTTCCCAGAAGTTTGTTTATTTTTATGGCTGAATGTACTAACGAAAGGCTAAGCATCTTACAAGAGAAGACAAAAAAGCAATATCTTCCTACCGATTATCACGAAATGATGTTGGTAATTGGTTGTTATTTTGTCATGGCGTACAACAAAGTACCATCTTATTGGTCATCTAAAAAATCACTTGGAAATGAGGCTATTAAAAAAACAGAAAATTCAGACAAACTTTATTACATTTATGTCGTGTCTCAAACATACATTTCCAAAAGCTCGAAGTGACAGTAATTGTCAAAGTATAGATGAGTCAATGGTGAAATTTAAAGGTCGTTCCTCGCTGAAACAATATCTTCCGTTAAAATCAATAAAGTAAAGACAAGTATTAAGATTTGGGAGAGATGCGATTTTGACACTGCATATGTATATGATATGAACATATATGCTGCGAAAGACGAGCAAAAAGAAGGAACATTAGGGGAAAGAGTGGTAAACAAGTTATGCAGCTCTATACATGATCCAAACGTGATGTTGTGTTTGGATCGTTTTTTACGACTGTGAATTTAATTGCTAATTTGGATTTAGCTGCTGTTGGGACATGTATGTCAAATAAAAAAAAACCTGCCACAGTTTGAAAAGAAAAAATGGGAAAAGGAGATTGCCAAACATTATTTAGTGATCAGGGTGCTATCGCTATCTATGTAAAGAATCTAAAGAGGTTTTGATTCTTTCAAACTGTCACAAAGACGAAATCGGATCTGTAGTAAGACGCCAAAAAGATGGAACCAAAATTAACGTGTCCTGTCCGGAAGCTATGAAAGCATATAATAGATTTATGGGTGGCGTTGATCTTTTAGATCAAATGTCTAGCTTATAATGGATGATTTTTTTGCTAGTATCTTTTTGGCAACACTGTTTTTGACAGATGACGCGTGAATCGTGTCTTGTGTCATTGTCAAACTTGTTCAGTTTGGTCTATAATTTAACCATGAATCGACTTACGAACGAACAACGGTTGCAAATTATTGAATTTTACTATCAAAATTCATGCTCGGTTAAGAGAGTGCATCGAGCACTTGCTGGGCAATTTGGTCGGCCTACTGAGGGAGCTATTCGGAAGCTTGTGACTAAATTTCGAACCCAGTTTACATTATTAGACATTAAACCACCAACACGCAGACGTAGAGTGAGGACTGAAGAAAATATTGCGGCTGTATCCGCCAGTGTTAGTGATTACCGTGAAATGTCGATTCGCCGCCGTTCGCAGCAAGGGCCTCTGTTGCTCCACTACATGGAAAATTTTGCGACCAGATTTGGGTGTAAAACCTTATAAGACACAGCTGGTGCAAGAACTGAAGCCATACGACCTCCCACAACGTTTCCAATTTGGTGAATGGGCGCTGGCAAAGTTGGAGGAAGATCCACATTTTTATCGAACAATTGTGTTCAGCGACGAAGCTCATTTCTGGTTGAACGGGTACGTTAACAAGCAAAATTGCCGCATCTGGAGTAAAGACCAGCCAGAACCATTGCAAGAACTACCAGTTCATCCCGAAAAAATCACTGTGGATTATGGGCCGGTGGCATCATCGGGCCGTACTTCTTCAAAGACGACAATGGCCGGAACGTAACTGTGAATGGCGAGCGCTACCGTGCGATGATAATAAACTTTTTTTTGTAAAAAATAGAAGAGCTGGACTTGGTTGACATGTGGTTTCAACAAGACGGTGCCAAATGCCACACCGCACACGAAACAATGGCCCTATTGAGAGGCGAGTTCGGTGAACAGTTTATCTCACGTTTGGGGGCCGTCAATTGGCCGCCTAGATCGTGTGATTTAACGCCGTTGGACTATTTCTTGTGGGGCCATGTTAAGGCTAAAGTCTACAGGGATAAACCAGCAACGATTGACGCACTGGAAGCCAATATTGAAGCATTTATTCGTGAGATACCGGCCGATATGTTGGAGAGAGTGTGCCAAAATTGGACCTTGCGCATTGGCCATCTAAGGCGGAGCCGCGGCCAACATTTACATGAAATAATCTTTAAACATTAAATTATATCGATCTTTCTATCGACTCAAATAAAGATTTAATCGTTTCTTCAAATTTTTTGTTTTTTTTTTGAAAATCAAGTCCTATACCTCTTAAAAAATCCCCCTTTACGAAATTGATCGGAAGTTTCAAAAATGGTGCAGAAAAACATTTTACAAGCTACTGTTAACATCAGCCTCAAATGCATGGATACTATTCAAAGAAGCTCATAAGCGTGATGTTCCGTTTATTAAATTTCTAGTAAACCTAGCAGAAGATTTGATAAACACAGGTCGACAAAAAGCAGGTGTTGTTAGAAAACGCTGTAGTGGCAGACCCTCAAGTTCATCAAAAAACCTCGTAAACGTAGGAGATCATTTGCCGTTTCTAGGAAAATCTTGTCGTAGATGTCATTAATGAACTTCTCAAAAAGTGTAAAAAAGAACAAAAACTATGTAATCAGGATGTAAGCTTCCCTTGTGCAACAACTGTTTCCAATCCTTTCACACTTAAATGTTAGAAGTTTATTATTTTCGTTCAAGTTACATTTTTAACTATAAGTATTTTTGTTACTTGTGGGATAATTGTATCCGTTTTTCCCGTGCTGTTGGGACAAATGTGTCCCATTTTGTATTTTTTTGTTTATTACTTAATAAAGAAAAACATGGTTTTCTTTTATTCAATCCATTGATATTTGTTATGTAGATAAGATATTTTGCACGTACACTAGAAAAAAAAAGAAAAGTCGTATTCTGAATGCCGATTTTTGCTAGGACCCATTCATCCCAACCGTAAAATTACGTTCTTCCTTTTCAAACTAAACTCGTATTGAAAGGGTTAAATTTTAATAGACTTCAGACGAAAAGAGAACAACACATGATAGAAAAACTGACATATGCTGTGCCAAACCCTTATCCTACAAATAGTTCTGTGGAAGAAGAAATTACTGGCGTTCTTATGAACGAGTTGCGACAATGCATATATTTGTAATATACAAATACGTATTTCATTCTATTTTCAAAAAATTTTTTTATTTTGTATTCGAGAATTCATTAAATTAAATACTACAGAAACTTGTTACTTATTTCAATATTATCATAAATAAAGCACTTTTTATGGTATTACACAAAAATCCACCACGCCAATTAAATGACAAAATAATGGATAAATAACACCATATGATGACAAATTCAATTAAAAACTACACATGGTAAAACTTTGTCTCCACTATTGCTTGACATTTTTCCGCGCCTTTTTGACGACTGTAATCTACTTCCCCTATATTCTATATTATAGGGCACGTCATGTAGGTCCTCGGAGCGGTTTATTTCGTTTTTTCGATCGCAAAGTCAGCCCGTGGATATTTGCAAATGTTACGCAGAACAGCGCAGCATACAATAATTGTTGGAACTTTTGCCAAAGAAACTTTCACTGTATGATGTAAAATGGGAAATCTCTGTTTCAGCTGCTCAAATACTCTTCCAATATGTGACTCTTTCTTTGGAATGGGAAATATTCTGTTTTGAGGGTTTTTAAATGGACACAAGCAAATCCATATCCATCATCTGCGAGAAGGCAAAAATTACCTCGAAATCTAGCCATAATTTCATATATTGAACTTCGTTTCCAAATTCTGGAATCGGGAACGCTTCTAGGCCACTGACTATCTACACTTGCAATCACTTCAATTGCATCACAAGTTAGATGTACAATTGAAACTAGCAAATCCTTTTTCAAATATTCTGTCAGCAACATAATATATTATAGTTTTACATACTGTCGAATGGTGAACGCCGCAATCTCCAGCAATATCGGTTTGAAATCCAGTATCACTGACATACCGCAGAAATATTTCCATTCTTTGCCGTGAGGTAAGTGCACCTGCTATGGAGCCCTATTCATAAAACAAAGGATATCCTGTACTTGCACATTTTGAAGGAAATTCTCCAGATGGTATTTATAATAATTTGAAGTAAATGTTTGTGCTTTTTGAGTATAAGCATGTCCTTCAAGCAGTGACATAAGTAAAAGGATATTCATAATCTTCACCGTATACCTGGCATAGGAAGCATATCCTCCAAAAATTCAGAGTGTGGTCAGTAGCAGACTCAAATTCGTAACGAAAGGTGGTCAAACGATGATGGCGAAAATTGTGGATGTTAGGGATGTTAAAACGTACATACCTCGTTTACCTTCACTTGATCCTGACTTCAAAAAATTATATCGGTTCGACGAAGCAAATTTACAATGGCTTGAGGACAGATTCTTAGTTGAGAATGAGGAAACTCGAGGAGGGGCACTTTCATGTATTCATAAAATGAAGACATGTCTACAGTATCTCGGTACCCTGGATATCAACAAGGTATTGGTCAGGAACTTGGTGTTAGTCAAGCAACGGTATCTCGTACTGTGGATAGAGTTGTGAACAGCATAGTTGCACAGTCGAACGAATGGATCAAGTTTCCAACTACCAACCATGAACTGATGGAGGCCAAGTGGATATGGCAAAGCGCGCATAAATTTCCGACAGCAATTGGTGTAATTGATTGTACACATATAGGAATCCTGAAACCAAATCGCCATGGAGATGAGTATATCAACCGAAAAGGGAAACCTACTTTAAATGTGCAAGCCACTTGTGATACCAGAGAGATGTTCGCAAGTGTTGATGTCAGTTGGCCTGGATCAGTGCATGATTCCAGAATATGGAGAAATTCACAGACTAGATCACAACTAATAAATAAAGCAAATGTACTACCTGGCGATGACGGTTATGGTATTGAGCCATGCCTTGTGACTCCCTTCAGAAATCCTACTCCAGGTGCAGAAATAAATTATAATAAGCTTTTAAAACAAGAAAGAGTTATAATTGAACGCTGTTTCGGCCATCTGAAATGCCGGTACCCTATCCTACAGTATGTTTGCCACGTAAAGTTGGAAAATGTGCCGAAAATAATTATTGCTTGTATTGTACTCCATAATGTTGCGAAGAGCTTGGGCGATCCTGACTTTGAGTTAGTTGAACAAGACCCAGATGAAGATGAAGGAAATCATGAGAATGGCGAACTTCCTCTCCGCCAACTAGGTTAAGAAATAAGAAGAAACTTCAGTATTATAATAAACTGATTAAAGTGCATTTATTTTAAGTTTTATTTTCGTGAACATCATAAGTTACAGGTGGCTTCTGACGCTGCAATATTTCTAATTTCGTTTTATAATACTCTTGTTGTAAAATACTTGTTTGGTACTGCTGTAATAGCACTACACGTTGCAGTTCTTTTGTAGTTAATCCTTTGGTTACCTCAATTTCGTATTTCTCTGTTGCTGATTTTCTTTTTGGTAGCAATGTCTTCTGAATTACTGGCGCTGTAATACTAACTGTTTGCTCACTGCGCTCGGTATATAGTTCACTTCCTTCTTCTAGGACACTGCCAACCTGAATGGCACCTCTAATTTTCCCAATTGTAGGATTACAGTCACCTTCCATAGCTTTCAGCAACTTTCTTTCCCAATCTAACAATTTAATTGCTTTATTACCAGTTTTTTTTTAGATGTTTTTTTTCAATCTTGATTTCATGTTGTTGATTTTTTTTTAATAACCCTTTAGTATCTAATGGTTTACCGAATGTTGATTCGTATTTTTTCAACATCTTCTTCAAGGCACCGTCCTTTCTCATTTTTATTTTTGGAACTTGTGACTTTTGCAATTTGTAATTTCATCTGCGGTGAACTGCAGGTCTTTGCCAATATTTTCTATAGTTTGGATCACTTGAGGATGACATGCTTATTAATTTGATAAAAAACTGTATCCAGTAAAAATACGGAACGGTCTGTGTAAGCTCTGGAGTACAACTGTCGGTGATGCTGAGTGACGAACTCCCACGTCAACTACAAGCTGGAACAAGTCAGGACATGTCGCTCAAGATACAAATACCAGTCAACCTTTTACTTTTTCTTGGAGGATATGCTCGCGAGTATAAGGTAATAGGATATGCTTATACTTCTACCTTTTTCTCCGAAGCAAGACCGTATACTTTTTTTACCTTATGCTTCCGAGGATATGCTTCTCTTTTATGAATACGGCTCATGGTTTCATCCGTCTGCGGTAAAAAATATTCTGATAAATAGTCTACAGTTTCGTTTTCAAAACGCAATAAAACCTTAGATTTGCTAGGACTTATGCTTTCTATTTTTTCTGTAATATTTAGTATTACGAACATTTATTAGGTTTGCCATTATTAAAATTATGCTTCTCTGATAAAAGTATGCGTTGGAGTACTAGAAAAACCTAAGTTAAGTCTCATGTTTCAAGTAATTACTTAAAGCTGGATGAGTTTACTTAATACCATAAGTAGACGCTTTTTTATGACTTTTTATTCAATGCTTGTCAAGTAAATACTCAAATAACAGGAAGTATAAGCAAATACTTTTTTTTTATTCAATAGACCCATTATTTGTGGTCCGGCTATGTATATTTGATATATCAGCTATAAATCGACTACATAGTTCTACGTTATAATGTTTCTTTTGTTTGTCCAATTTTTGTTAATACATAATGTAAGTTAGTTTATGAGCACATTGTCTGTGTGTTTGTAGCCATTCAAATGAATAGGTGTTTGATATAACTGATTTATAAACTCCATAAGAAAAATTTCCTATGTGATTTCATTTATTATCGGTTAGCTGTACAGCACGCAGACACACATTATGGTTTAAAACAATGGTGCAATGATTTTAAAGTAACTACATTGATTTTTATGTTTCGACAGCCCAAATAAATCAAGGTAAATATTCTCTAAAGAGAATGATGCGATGCTCCTTCCTAGAAGTCTTTTTAAGGCATCTAAATACACGTTTTCTGTTCTTCCAGATGCATTCTAAAACCAAAAATATAATGCCGAATATGTATCCAAGACAGAGTAGCCAGAACGCGCTGGAGATGTCTGAAAATCTGGCACTCTTGTAGGTTTTTCTCTTGTCGCATTTCGAAAGAGGTGGATACAGGATGTTGGTTATGTACTTGTGAATGCCGGTCTCGTACATTCGGATTATGCTGAAAAATAACAAATTTTTGGTAGAAAATGTGATAGGATATCAGTTCGAGCCATCTGCACACATCTAACATTAAGCTTTCATTATCGACCAATTAATGCCATGGGGATCCAAAATATTCATATACATTTTAGCCTGCCTATGGTATGCTAAGCCCTATATAGAGCCTCAGAGAGACGCAAAACGTGGCGCCGTCTTCATTTTTACATAGACCATGAGCTCACGCACCCTCCGAGGGCAGTGGCGTGAGTCATAGTGGGAAATCGTAATAGTCAACGTAACATACAAAAATAATATTATGTTTGGTTAGTAGACCCACATCCTAAACCATTACGCCACGATAGTCTAATCATATTAGCAAATTTCCCCGAAATAATTGTAAAGTTGGGTTTTATTGATGCAAGTTGTTCAAGGGCAGCATTTCAAACATGTACGCATGAAATGGGTACACCAATTTTTGTGGGAAAACCTTTTGGTCGACAACAATGAGAAAACGTGTTTTTTGGAATTTAATCGGAAGTGTGGTCAGGTACCAAAAACTTTTCTAATAAGATTTTTAAGTTTCTATGAGACCTACAAAATGAGACCACACGTAAAAAGATCCGACCAATAGTAAAACAGTTATAACCGAAAACCGAGGCAAAATGCAGGTTATGGCTCTTATTGCTAATGCGACGACAATTTCACGAAGCTATTTAAAATTCTTCAAATCCGTAGGCTCCATACTTCTAAATAACCACAACAAAATTGGAGTCGATTGGTCAAGTAGTTTTTGAGAATTTCTAATTGTTTATTCCAAAAGACCTGTCTTCCGGCCATCACTACTAGTTTACTGAGCGATATACAAGTTTCGTTCAAGGTGAAATGAATCACAAACCATTCCGGAAGATAATTGTTATTTTTATGCGAAAAAACGAAGGGGATAAACAATTAGAAATTCTCAAAAACTACTTGACCAATCGACTCCAATTTTGTTGTTATTTAGTATTTAGCCCACGAATTTGAAGAATTTCAAGCATCTGAGTGAAACTATCGCCACATTACCAACAAGTGCTAAAACCAGCATCTTGCCTCGGTTTTCGGCCATAACAAACAGGCCTAACTAGGGGAGGTGGTGTTTTGTTAGCGATTAATAAGATATATGAGGCCATTGCATGTTCAGTTTTAGAAATTGATATTGTTGGGATTAAGATTCAACCTGTTCGTAATGCTATCTACGTTATCCTCGCTTATATTCCTCCTAATATGCACCTTGATGCTTTTGAATCTTTTGTTGATGACATTTTGGCGATTGATTTTTTTGGTCCAAATGATTTTGTTATTTTTCTTGCAGATTTCAACATTCCCAGTTACGTGAATAAAATGTTGGATGATTCTTGCAATAATAGCTACTTATATGCTATCTCTAATATGAGCAGTTCCTTAATTTAGTCCAATACAGTCGTATTCGTAACGAATATGATCGTATACTGGACTTCTGTTAATGTGAGAAATGCATCTGATATTCTTTTACCAGTGGATAGACACCATCCTCCGATAGAAATGCTCTTTTCTCTTCCGCGTTCTCTGAATAACGCACAAATAATAATAATCCGCAATATAACTTTAGGAGAGCAGATCTTCTTGCGCTCTACACCAGTATTATGGGATTTTTCTTTTCCATCTGACATCCTCGACATTAATATTGCTTGTGACCAGTTTTATAATAAATTGTATAACGCTTTCGATAGGCACGTTCCATACATATTACCAAAGGATAACAGATACCCTTTCTGGTTTTATCGTGCAATAATCTTTGAAATATCAAAAAAACATCGCCTCTGGAAGCGATATAAGAGAACTTTGGTTAGATCTGACTATGAAGCTTTCAGTAACTTGCGAAGTGCCATCAAAATCGATATAGACTTTTTTAGGCGTTTTCTAATTTTGTTGCAAGAACTGAGCGAGCCCTTGCGCAAAACCCCAATCAATTTTGGTCTTTTGTTAACTTGCGCAGCAACAGATCGGGCATACCCAACAATATGTCTTTGGAAAATGAGGAGTTCAGGAATCCACAGCAAATCGTTGATACTTTTGCCAAGTATACTAAGTGACATATAAATCCGAACACCCAGTTTAAATGGTTTTATTTCAATAAAAGTTGGTGAATGTATTTATCTTACTGTAAATAACAAGTGAAAAAATTTTCAGCCTTATCAGTTGGACATTCCGGTTTTTATACTGCTTTTTTTTTAATTCACTAACGCTCTAAAAATGAATGTTTCAGCCGCAGTAAAGAATCAACGTTGGCGGATTTTGGTTCTTGACATCCTTTACGATCGGTTACGATGCCTAGAGTACGGAGACCTGTACGATTTCATCAACTTAGTGAGTTTGATAGGGGCCATATAGTGGTACTTCGGGAAGCTGGACTTTCTTTTCGGGCAATTGCAGTTAGAGTGCAAAGAAGTGTAGACACTGTGGTTAGGTGTTGTCAGGCATGGCTTCGAGAAGGCCGTACGCAAAGAGCAAGGGGCACTGGACGCCGCCGTAGAACAACAGACCGTGAAGATCGCCGCCTAAGATTATTGGCCTTAAGGGACCGTTTCTCCACTACCAGGTCCATTGCAGATGAATGGTTTGCAGAACACGGAAGACCTATTGGCATGCGAAGTGTTTACCGACGAATGAGAAGTTTTGGCTTGTTTTCATACCGGCCACACTGGGTCCTCCCTTTAACTCGAGAACACCGACGTAATCGCCTTGAGTGGTGCAGACAACGGTCACTCTGGGATCAGGAATGGAACAGTATTGTCTTTAGTGACGAGTCTCGATTTTGATTAGGCATGCACGATGGTCGTGCCAGGGTTAGAAGGCGACATGGTGAAAGGAGGAATCCACAGCTTTTTGTTGAAAGACATGTTCATCACACTGTTGGAGTTATGGTTTGAGGTGCTATAGCTTATGGTTCCAGGTCACCTTTAATCTTCATCAGAGGTAACATGAACGCGCAGCGTTATATCCACGAAGTTCTAGAACCCCATCTTTTAGCCTATCTTGACACCCTGGCAGATCCAACTTTCCAACAAGATAATGCCCGACCACATGTTGCAAGAGTCACGATAGACTTCTTTCAACATAATGATGTCACATTGTTACCATGGCCACCAAGATCTCCCGACTTATCCCCAAGTGAGCACGTGTGGGATATGATGGGTAGGAGATTGCTCAATTTGTAACGTCCTCCTCAGACTCTAGAAGCCCTTCGAGAGGAGTTGGTGGTTGCCTGGAATGAGATACCACAGGAGGACATTGACCACCTGATCAGAAGCATGCCTAGGCGCGTTGGAGAATGCGTAGCACATCAGGGTGCATCCACACATTATTAAAGGTCAAAGGGCTTTAAAGCAGTGCAATCATTTTGAAATTTTTATCATTTACTTATTATGCTTCATTAAGTACTTATACAAAATTTTATTAAAATAAAACCATTTAAACTGGGTGTTCGGATTTATATGTCACTTAGTATATTTCCAGTCCACCTACATCACGTCTTCTCAACCATCCGCTGATTGTTCCGTTGCGGAGAATATATCGTATCTCCCTATAGTGACTATTAATGTGGAGTATGTACTGAATGCAATAAAATGGTTAAAGCCTAAATGTTCCACTGGCTTGGATTCCATACCTTCATTTTTTCTAAAAGACTGTGCGTGAGTTCTTGCTGAGCCTTTGTCATATCTTTCCAATTTGTCCTTGAAATCTGCCACCTTTGATAGAAAATGGAAATTGTCTAAAATAACACCTGTTTTTAAGATAGGCAGGTAGAGAATTACAGGGCTATTGTTATTTTAAGTAATATTGCCAACATTTTTGAGTTTGTTCTCTTTGATATTCTGTTCTCTCATGTAAGTCGGTCAATATCGACGAGTCAACATGGTTTATATAAGGGTAGATCTACGTGTAGTAATCTAGCTTTTTTTAAGCAGTACTCCGCGTCAGTTCTGGATAATGGCGGGCAAGTTGATGTAGTCATCACGGTGTTCTACTGCAGAAGTTGTCTAAGTACGGTTTAACATCTAGATTCTTAGCTTTCTTTCATTCATACATCAGTGATAGATAATTATGTGTGGATTTCCGTGGATATAAGTCTAGTGCGGTTTTAGCTACATCAGAAGTGGCCCAAGGTTCTGTTCTGGGTCCTCTATTATTTTTAATTTTTATCAATGATGTTACAACAGACTTGCGTTGTGAGTACCTGCTATATGCCGATGACCTCAAAATCTTTAATAGCGTGTGCTGCTTAGAAGACAGTTTAAGGTTACAAGCTGATTTGAATGTCATTGATCACTGGTGTAAGGTAAATAACATGCACTTGAATGTCAATAAATGTTCTACTATGACGTTTACACGCAGGGTGGAACCGACATGTTTTAATTTTGAAATCGGTAGCAATGTTCTTTGTCGTGTTAATATCGTCAAGGATTTGGGCGTATTATTCAATCTAAAGCTTTCTGTTATTGATCACATTAATGCAATAAAAGTCTTTAAAAATCTTGCTTTTGTTATAAGAAACAGTAGACATTTCAATAATACTAATACATCAAATTTACTTTTTAATGATTTTGTCAGATCTATTTTAGAATACTGTACGATTATCTGGTACCCGGCCTATGATATACACTGTAAAAACATCGAGAGAATCCAACGTCGTTTTGTGAAATACTTATGGTTTAAAGATGATAGAGCGTACCCTGAAAGGGGTATACGCAATGACATTCTCTTAAGTAGATATAATTTACATAATTTAGTCAAACGTATGGATCTGTTAGCTGCTAAATTTTTATGTAATTTGTTGAATGGAACAATTGATTGCTCTTTTCTTCAAGACAGGATCTCTCTACGCGTTCCCGATTTGCGTACTCGTCATGGTGGTAACAACTCATTTTATTTACCTGTTCCGCGGACAAATTTATTGTTTATGTTATGTGTAATGTCTGTGACAGTGTAAGTGAACTTGACATTTTTAGTTCCACCAAAATCGATCTCAAGAGGTGTTTTTTAACAATTGGATAATTTATATTCATGTCTTTTTTATCATGTACTGTCTAGAGTTTTGTTTTTGTATCATTTTTTGTTTTTTCCCTGCCTGTTAATTGAATCACTCTGTTCAGGCAGTGTATGGATTATTATAAATAAAAAATAAATAAATAAATAAATAACTTTTTTGATATGAGTCAGATGTTTTACGTGTGGTCTCATTCTGTGGGTCCCATAAATACCTAAAAATCTTATTTGAAGAGTTTTTCGTTCCTGCTAACAGTTTTGACTGGATTCCAAAAAACACGTTTTCTCATTCTTTGTTGTCGAATATAAAGTTTTTCCCCAAAAATTGGTGAACCCATTTTATGCGTCCATGATTTAAATACCCACTTGTACAACTTGCATCAATAAAACCAGACTTTATAATTATTTCGCGAACCAGCCATATTTTGGTCTAATATGATTAGACTACAGATGATTATATTTCCACATGTTACAGCTACTGAACTCGTTCCACAAAATTTATCTTAATTGAACTGAATAATTTAGTTACTTAGAGTAATTAAAATGTATTACGGGTAATTGACATTTTCCAGAACAACTGCTTAATTGGACCCCTTTTCTTAATGTGCTCAAATATTTTGAAAGTGAGTTGTATGAAATCAAATTTACCTGAGGTTGATAAGCTTTTTATAAGGCGACTTCTTGGCCACCCCAAATGCTACACTATTTAGGGTGGACTTTACGAGAATCTCTTGTATATCATATCGACATTTGTGATGGCTGATGTTGAGCAAAGCTCGTCTCGCGTCTTCGCCAGCTGCAAAGAATCCATAGCCACCTTTGGCGGCCCGCATAAGTCCTTCTGTTATGTTTTGAACGTTGGCCAAGTATCCACGAAGATAGATTTGATTTAGCTGACTGTTGTTTGTTGTCTTTAGAATAAATTGGGAAATCATCAGGTAAAAAAAGTCTCTATGAATATGGGTCCAAGGAACTCTCCTACCGTGATACCGAGTGATGCCATTTTATTTACGAAATTGAAAGAAAAATGTATCTATCTACGGAGCAGGTAGAGATTCTGAGTTCGGTAAGCACATTAAAATACCATTTTATTTTCCATAAATTTTGTGTCTGAAGGAGTTTTTCTTAGATCACTATTTTTGGAGATATTTAGGTTTGAATATTCGAGGTGAAATCCTAAAATATTCTTATGAAAAGGTTTAGCCTCCCCTATTCTGAAAACATCGTGGAAACACTAAAACACTATACCGCATGTGACGAAAGCTACGGCACCTCATTACGGAATCAATTGAATAGTATGCATGTCTTATCCTCAATCAGTAGCGTAGAAGCTTAACATTCTTTAAACATTTCCTGTGCACGTTACTGGTTTTGCCGGCATGTTCATTTTTGTTTATAAAGAAACTTCAGAACAAAGAAAGCGTTTATTTCAAAAATAAATAAATAAGGCTAATAAGAACAAAAAAAAAACATTACATTTCTTTCTGAATAATACGTCCTCATACCTCTTGTCTGAGGCTGCTAATGATTTACGCTCACTTGATCCGAAATGCTAAAGAATTTTTAGAAGGAAAGGCCGATAATTTCAGGAGTGAAATAATAAGAATTTTACTAAAATTGACTGGTTTCGCAATTATTAGCTGTAATTTTAGACAAACACGAAATCTAACATGGGTAGTACCAGGAGAAGTATACCATGAAAACCTTGCATAGACAAACTTTAATGAATGGTCAGCTTCTACACTACTGATTGAGGATAAGACGCACATTAGTCAATTAATATTGTAATTAGCCCCCATAGCTCTCTTCACAGGCTTCGCGGTGTTTTTTCTTTATTACATCTTACTGATTCCATCATTCACAATTTAGATAATCACATCAACACCGTCTTGGTACTGTTAGATTTCTCGAAAGCCTTTGATATGGTCAATCACCAGATACTACTGAGTAAGTTATCTCATTATGGAATGTCAGATATAGTTCTGAGGTTCTTTGAGTCATACTTGCTAAATCGTCAACAAACAGTGAAATCTGATCAGGGAATTTCCTCCCCTGAGCCAGTTCCTTCAGGAGTTCCTCAGGGCTCAGTATTAGGTCCCTTACTATATCTGATTTATATACGTACTATCGATCTGCAAGACTGTTTAGTCCACTGTAGTATGCAAACTTATGCAGATGATACTCAGTTAGTGTTTGGTTTCGATCCATCAAAGGTTGATAAAGTTTCTTTTAAAGTTAATTTAGATTTGGCTAACATCAGTGATTACTGTAACAAACACAGCGTGAAGATCAATCCTAATAAAACTACTGCAATGTTGTACTGTTCGAAAAACTCCTACCGTGAAATGAAGCACAGGATTTGTGTAGTTTTGGATGAAACACTCATCCCTTTTGTGGATTACGCCAAGAATCTCGGTGTTACCCTTTATTTAAATATGAGATTCGATCGTCATGTCTCTTTCTTATCTAGAGTAACGCATATGCGTTTGAAACTCCTCTATTCTAATCGATTCATCCTGAATTTTAAAACCAGAAAAAAACTCGCCGAAAGTCTTGTGTTGTCTATCATTTCTTACTCTCTTGTTCTTTATTACCCATGTTTAGACTACGTCCACGAAAGGAAACTCCAGAAAATTCAGAACAGCTGTTGTAGGTTTATTTTTGGATTGCGCAGGTTTAGTCGCGTCTCAGATAAAATCAAAGAACTCAACTGGTTGCGAATTGATAAGTTATTTTTATATATTTTGACCGTCTTCACGCATAAAGTTCTATTATCTAACAAACCAGCTTCCTCTCTAGCAAATTAGTTCACCGCGGTAGTTTTGTTACCAGAGCTCTTAGATTTACATGCATCACAATGCAGTCAACAGTGGCTATCGATCCAAACAGGTTGCTTCTTTTAAGAAATTAATGAAAAGTCAGCTGCTGGAGTCCATTTAGTTCAGTTTTTCTTGGGTTCATGTGCTTTTTTTTTGTTTGACTATTTTCTACTATTTTGTTTCAAATTTAAAACTCTCGCAATACTATCTGCATTTGTCTCGTGCAATCAATGTTGTCATTCTTATGAATTGTATTTTTTGGTATGTTATTATTTTGTTTATGTGTTTAAATATTCTTTTTTCCTGTTGTACTTCTCTTCTCTGAAAATGCATGAGGCATTTACTATCAGGGGTCCGAATACCCAAGTTTCTACGTCCCTGTTTTAAACTGTTCCGGAAAACTCCGTGTATTTATCACTGATGATGTGCTCGCTAAGCATCTGAAATCCTAACTCAGTATCACTACTCATATTTTTTTCAATTTCATAAATAAAACTTCATCGCCCTGTATCTCGTCAGAGGAGCATATTTGGACCTATATTTATAAGAATATTTTATGTAATTTTTATATGTACTTTCTACCCTAAAAATATGCCTTTCTTTAGCACCCTGTATAGTGTGTGATGAACTTCATTTATCAGAAAGTATAATAAGGAAAATCAAGTCTCATGAACGTATTGTTCAGACATTTAAAATACATAATTCATTTTTTTCAAATTACATACTTACCCGTAAGTAAACCTCAGTCTGGCTATCTTTTTCATATCCGATTTCATAGTTACTCTCTAAAAGTTCTTGCACAGTTCTAATATCTGGCAAAGTTATCGATAATACAGATGTTATAAATGCCGAATATGAGTTGTATATCAATAAAGTGAATGCCAAGGCTATCAGTACTATTATTTGATCCGAATATAGCTTTGGTCTCCATATACTTCCTAGAACAGACAAAACATTGAAACTTCTCAGTACCGTCATCTATTCTCTATATGAAATATACGTAGGTAGTTCCTTTATATCTCATTAATTCTTTGAAATAGTAACAAGTTTGTACATGAGAAAATAAAGGGCTTAGCTGTCCCAGCCATATATGGTGTCAAAAAAGGGTAATAAGTCCATAATTTTTTAAATGCACGGGGGAAATCTATGAATCTAAGATGTGTAAAATACGAGCCCCTTCCCACTTCAGTTGGCCCACTTCAAGATTTGTACCAAAATATGCCTCTATAAACTAAACATGACGAAACTATTTACTTCTGAAACAATTTATTTTTTCAAAAACATTTTAGATACACTCTAGTCGTAAAAAATTCATATTTGAAATCACTTAGACCTATAACTAATAGAACATCTGAATAAATAAACAATGTGCGAATAAACGCGCGAAGTTAACAAAGCAACAATTGAAAGATTACCATTGGGTAACATCACCTTTATTTTTTATTATGGCTGAAATTTTTTGGGGCATAGTGTTAACAAAGTTTTGGCAAAAATTTGGTGTAAAACAATCCCATATTTCTTGAAGCTTTTGTCTCAGTTCGGTGATTGTACGAGCAGGATGTTGTCGTTGAACCTTTTTCACCTCGTGCCACAAAGTTTCAATAGGTGACAGATCTGGACTGCTAGAAACCCATTTCAAAAGTGGTACATTATTTTCTTCCATCCATTTTATAGCCTGTTTTGAGGTATGGCATGCTGCACCATCTTGCTGAAACACAAAATCTTGGCCGGATGTCAAACATTCTTCCATCACTGGTAAAAGCGATTCTTCTAAAATTGCCAAATATTTGTTTGTATCCACATTTTCATCAATAAAATGAAGTTTTCCTACACCTTTTGATGACATACTGCCCCAGACCATAATGGATGCTGGAAATTTCACTTTTCTCTTCAGACAGTCAACATGGAATGCTTCATTTGTTTTGCGAATAACTCTACTGCGACTGTCATCAACACAAACTTCGAATCGGGCCTCATCACTCCATTGTATTGCACACCATTGTTGAGGTGACCATTGTCTGCGTTCTTCAGCCCATCTAAGTCTATTTTTATTTTGCAGTGGAGTTAATAGTGGCTTTTCTTTGGCCAATAAACAAGTTGCGCAACTCTAGAGTTTTTACTTCACTTTTTTTTATAAGAAAACTTACCTTGCAAGTGCTAAATCCCAGTTTGTGGGCCTCTCTATGAGTTGTGGACCTCGAAATTGTCCTTCCAACAGCGTTACTCCACAGAGCATTTAATTGTAAATAATTTTCACGCCTGTTTTTCACGATTATTCTTCTTAATGCTCTTCGGTCGGCATTTGTGATATTACTTTTTTTCACATATCGTGGCTTAATATTAACTGAACCAGTTACGTTATATCTTCTAACAATATTTCTCACACTGTACCGCGATAAGTCTAACAAAGTTACAATTTCTGAGTTTGATTTCCCAGAATTAAAAAAATTAATCATCAATAACCGAATTTTCTCTCTAATGACCTTTGCTCTACCCATTTTGAAAACCTTAACTATCCAAAACTATTTCAAACATATTCTGACAGCTGTGATTAATAAAAACAATTGTCATGGCTTTTATTTTCACAGCCACCTATTCGTTATAGACTTATTTTGCATTGAAATGAAAATAGGTTGATATGCTGTAATTGCAACATGTGTTATTTTTATGCTGCAAATTTTATTAGGGAGTGATATAGTTGCTGTTTTCTACTATATATTATCAAAATATTCATTGTTAGTATTTTAAACCTATAACACCCTGCTACATTTTTATTATTTGTGTTTGATAAGAAAAAAAATAAGATTTCAATAGTTGGGCCAACTGAAGTGGGAAGGGGCTCGTATGTCTAATAGGTGAGAAGAATTACCGGCATTTGACACATCAATAAATTGAGATGTACCCTCCCACACTCCTTACAGCCCCCAACCCTGAATACTTGACCCCCACAAATACTTTTCTGAAAGTGGTCAGGAGCCTCTAGAAAGTCAAGAAACGATGATTCAAAGATTTTTGCTTATTGTGTTCTTTTGTCCATAGCTCCGCCGCCACTAGGTTGACTTTCAAAAACTACAAAGCTTTTTCCTCCATGACACAGTAGTAACCTTATGTAAAGATCTTATCAAAATCCAAGCATTTCTTTTCAAATTGTAGTCGGATAGATCGATAGACCGACGGAAATGAACGACATAGTTTTTCATGATGTGCATGTCATATAGCTTCCAAAGAACGTAATATCCTAATTTCGGAACTCTTCGCTATTATAATACAGTGGCGTGGGAAGTAAAAAATACAGAAGCTTAGTACAGTAACTGAGATGAATGCTTTTTTAATTATGCTATCAAGACAAATAAATATAATAAATGTCAACATTCATCAAGCCGTTTAAGCTGTAGCCCATGAAATATAAAGTTCAAAGTTTTAATTTTAGTTTAAAGTCCACCGTTCTGATTTAATAAAAGTTCAATACACTAAGTGTCACTCGCACTACTAAGACGAACAACTTGTGTGAGTCATAATCCATCAAGTCGTTTGGACTGTAGCCCAAGAAATAGAATTTTCAGTCTATATTCTAAGACAGTGGTGGAAACAGTTAGGGCGGGTGGGCCACGGAAGGCCATTCTCTTTAGAAGCCCAACTATCAAAAATGAGTAGTTGTTGCCATGCGCTGACAAATTCCTTCTACTCACACTAACACGCATCAAAGAACATACACGCGTCCATTATATGTCCCAAAAATATGGTCAAAGAATCCAGAATATGAAATGAGCCTTCTTTTTCCATGCAGTGCCGTATAAGTTATGAAAGGGTGCACAGGAAGCTTGGGGGCTGAAGACGCACAGTGCAGAACAAAATTCGGGCTCTATTTTGCCGTTGGGAACAACTAAACACCTTTCTTTAATTTCGTCTAATTTTTGTCCATTTGGAGGCCTCCCATCAGGCCAGGATCCTGAGCACGGGCCCCGTGTGCCGATAGGTTAAGGATAAGATGGAATAGTTTCCATGACTATACAGGGTGTTCCTTAATGATATGCGAATATTTGAAGGTGTGAATCTACATGAAAAATTAATGCTAGTTTGCTTTATAAACTATGGTCCAAAAATGTTTCCTTACAAAAACTCGGGGTGGTAGTGCGTAGTGGTAGTTAATAAATTTGGATATTTTCAACGCAAAAATAATTTTTAACTTTAACAGTGGCGTGCGTACGGGTATTGACTTCGATATTTAAAAAATAGTACTCTAATGTTTTTTTGCCAAATAAAAATTATTTTTGAATTCCTCGTTCAATTTAAAACAATAATCTCTATTGAATTGTATTCCTTCGATGCGCCATTTTTGAGTAAAAAAATAAAAACCGTTCTATTGTCTAACTTGCAAAATTATTATTAATTTAATTGGCAAAATTAAACACATTAGGGGCAATGAACAACAAAAACTGACAACATAAACATAACATTAAAACCAACGAAATGATTACAAAAATTGTTAAAAATGGCCCCCGTCACTTAGTATGCATGCTTCCGCCCTCCTACGAACCGCTACACTGAAATATTTTTTCTTATTACTAACGGAACATCATCAAGCAGCAAAGGTAACTGTTTTTGATGGAAATTCCGTCAAGTCGTCCCGGCAAGAAGCATGGGCCAATAAAGTGGTTGTCAATAATTGCTGCCCATACGTTAACCCAAAATTGGTGTTGGAAATGGGTTTCGGTTACGGTATAGGGATTTTCTTCTGTCCACAAATGACTATTGTGGAAATTCTGAATGGCATTTCGAGAAAAATTAGCTTCGTCCTGGAACAGAATCATTGATTCAAATTGCGGATTTTGTGTAATTTTTTGAAGATACCACTGATAAAAGGTCACACGCCTTGGAAAATCAATGGGAAGTATTGCCTCTACTCTTAGAATATGGTAAGAATATAACAAAAAGTCCAATAAAATTCTCCATACTGTTTGATGGTAAATATTTAAGTGTATAGCGATCTTCCTCGTACTCGTTTCAGGATGTTCTTCGACTTCGTGCAGCACTGCTTCCTCAACTTCAGGTGTTCTCACACTTAGAGGTCTACCTTCAGATGTTCCTTTTCGGACAGAACCAGTTTCAACAAGACGACGATGAATATTAGAAAAGGTTCGACTATCTGGCAAAGCACGATCGGGATATCTCTGGTGATAAATCTGTCTGGCTTGCTCACCATTACCGTCGGCAAGGCCATATACATAATGCATTTCCCCCATTTCTGCATTTGAATAATTCACCATTATCAACAAGATTGTAAAAACTAAATTATGAAAAAGATGTCTCAGCGAACAGATTTGAATAACAGAGACTTGTCAGATGTCAAACGCCAATGATATATTCCAGAGCAACTAAATATTTATTGCTAAATTGTATTCTTCAATTATTACATTAATTTTCTCGGACAATAGAATAGTTTTTATTTTTTTACTCAAAAATGGCACATTGAAGGAAAACAATTCAGGAGAGATCATTTGTTTTAAATTGAAAGGGAAATTCAAAAATAACTTTTATTTTGCAAAAAACCATTGGCATAACATTTTTTTCTTAAAAAATATCGAAGTCAATATCCGTACTCACGCCACTGTTAAAGCTAAAAATCATTTTTGCATTGAAAAATACGCAACTTTATTAACTTTCACTACGTACTAAATATCAGTGAAATATCTGAAGCGGTTCTGAAAATATTAATTAATTTTCATTTTTTTCCTAAAACTTCAACAACCCCAGTTTTTGTAAGGAAACATTTTTGGACCATAGTTTATAAGGCAAACTAACATTAATTTTTCATGTAGATTCACACCCTTAAATATTCGCATATCGTTAAGGAACACCCTGTATATCCTGCAAGCTTCATTTTATTTCGTTACTGAAGAAAGAAACATTAGTATCATTCTGCGTATTTGAGACAAAGGTGCAAATATTTCGCTGTGATCATTTGTGGACCCAAAAGAAAATTGTCGAAAATTTCGTTTATTTTCTGTCCGAATAATACTCTCACCATATGTGTTGATATCATACCTTGCTGACATATAACTCCAATGCACCACGTCAAACTACTGATGATTCCATAAGGATAGCTTTCCTGGCCCTTGAATTTCATTGCAACTCTGTGGGTGATAGCTAAGCAAATAGAAAGGGCTAAACCAGTTCCAAAGACACACAGAATGAGTCTTTCGTCAAAAGGTTCGAGGTATATGTTGCGGAATTTGTTGGATGCCTCTGGTTGTAGATAGATATTTTTGCTGAAAGAAGATTTTTTGTCTTTCAAAAAATTCCGTTATAAGCTATAGTTGAAATAAAGAGTAGTTGGGTATACCGAGAGCAGACACACACAGGCAAGGCGCATAAATTAGAGACATTCAATCGTGATGGGAATATTTATCTTCCGTTCGCAGCCTACGAAATATATTTTTCAATCAACAAAGTTATACATCACACTTTACGCGAGTACTCTCCGCGTCATGTAAACAGACGTTATTCTCAAAACCTGTAAGTTCGCAGAGCTATTTAACTTTTAGGCCCCACGTGGAATATTACACGATTTAGTTTAGTTACAAAAGAGAATCGTCAGCTTGAAATTAATTTTTTTTGTAAGATCTAATTCCGTATTTGACCAATCATCAGTATATTTAGGATACTTGCCAGCGATCTAGATAGCCTGGCCTTACTTATTTCGAATAACTTTCAGCTCAGTAACTAGTAGTGTTTTCTCAACATTTTATTTTAGTTTGGCAACACCGCCTCGGGAAATACATAATGTCGAGCAATCTATGAGCTAATCGCCAAGCCAAGAACAGTCCGCCAAAAGATCCCTATTTTCTTTCTTTTTTTTTTTGTAAACCAGTAATAAACCAGAGCCAACCGCAACTTTTCGGTTACTGATATAAGTTAAAGATCAATCAAATCATTACGTTTTTTTGTTACTAAACAGCAAACTCGGACAAGGTCCCAAGGTCAATGGAGCAGACCGGCAGATGATAAAGACAAAAATATGTCATAATTACCATGATTTCATGATATCCAGTGTAAATCCGATAGCATTGAAGCCAGCAGGTATTTTGATGAAACATTCTAATGCAAGGTCGATATCTCCCTTCGACAATGCCCCTAGAAGGTCTGTCCATTCTCCTTCAGTGTTTTTGGATCCAACTTTCGCGAAAAATAATTCAGATTCACTAAAAATAAGTTCATAATAAGCCTGTCGATTTGAATATTTGGACATTGGAGGAGGGGTAACCATCAAGGAGAGTAATTAGTACACTTAAGGAGTACCATTGAGCATATTCGGTCAACGGAAAGCAGCCCAGCTGTGTAGCATGATGAATAGCAGTAACCGTGGACAGTTCTGAACATTTAACCACCAAAATATAGTTCTTTTAATGGTGTTTGGCAGTTACTTCATCAATACCATACGAAATGAGTAAGCAAATCGACTAACTAAACCATGTGAGGAGCTGAAGCTCCGTGGAAAGATTGCACACCGTACAAACCGACCTTAACCGCAGCTACTCTTGCGCAATGAATTAGTCAATAAAGAACCACTGCATCACTTTCTCAAAATTCTCCAATAATTTTAGCAAAATTAGCGATATTGTCCGTTAGTATTTTCAGGTCTGATATGATTTATATAAAAAAGATCAATAAAAGATAAACCCAGAATTGTACGTCCATGTCAAGTGGGTTGGCACGCTGACAGTGACAAACATATATTAGGACAACTCATACGTTGGCGAGAAAGTTTTCGAGGTGACGAGATGAAACTAAAGAAGATATCGTAACGATTTATATTGTACTGGTTTTACTATCCAAAGTCTGTCACTACTCTACAATAATTTATAACACTTGCAACTAATTTATGACATATTTATAACCATGACGATTGGACTATATTGACGCATCAGTCGCTGCTCGTTTACTCAATCTCAACTATGACTGACCGCCATTTGTTCAGATATTTATGTAGTGAACGACGGTTCCTGACGCACTCCAGCATTTTCTAGCAACTCGATTCCATCTCGAAGCTGGTAGATGGCGGTAGGTGATTCCAGGTGGGTCTCGTTGATTCTTGAATCTCCGCCTAACCTAGACAGCACCACAAGCGCTCACGCAATCGGTCTCGAAGCTTCGCAAGCTGCGATACATGATAATGTAACTCTGGTAGCCTAATTTTGCGAAGATATCTTTTCGCCATTCAAGGTCGTGGTTACGAGGGCGCTACATCAGTATGTCTGAGCTTGCACAAACGCCCGCGTACAGAGCCAGATTGATAATGCATGTCTGAGGGAGATGGATGTATAAAAGTGATATCGGGTAGTTTTAGTGTGACTCGTTAAAAACGTTGGAATGAGCTATATAATCTGACAGTCAAGTGAAAACTGCTTTGAGATTAACAAAACTATTCCATCGCTGGGCTACTCTATGTTGGCTGAACGCACTCATTGCTCTAGGTATCTGGGCCCCAAAGGTGCAAGCCTGAAAAGGTGCTTGATGAGCCTAAAGGATTTTCTTGTAGGGTGCCTAGAGCTAAAATAGCCTATTAAAAATGGACTAAAAATATTTTTTTTCATATACAGGGTGTCCCGAAAAAAGCGTGCAATATTCTAACAGCGGTTTTTAGAGCTTAAAATAGGCAGTCAAGTTTATATAAACATAGGTCTACAAACGACCCCTAAGGGCGCTACGGTCTTTTAAAAGCGCTCGCCTGAATATGATTTTTCCTTAATATTTTCGAAACTTGTTGAGATAAAGACATAAAATTTGGTATTCCAGCCTAGTTTTTTATGCTGGATTTAAGATTATTAACAATCTTAGACAGTTTTTTTTGGAAGCGTATGTAACAGGGACGGACTCAGGTTATCTTAGCCCCAAAATTTTTGTGTGATTTTATTTTTGAAATTCAATTTTAGAATTTGAAAATTTAGGGTTTTCTACATAAAAAAGGTACTCTTATTGAATATCGATAGATTGTGCCATTTTTTAATAAAATAAAACTAAAAAATTTGTCACATGATAGGAAATGTACTTCGAATTTAAATGAATTGTTGATTATACATAGTTAGCCATGACTGCAAACAAAAGTTGTTTTGATTTGTTATGACTTATTTTGACGTTAAGCTGACATTGTTAGCATAGTAAAATTACTAGATTAAAATCAAAATTTTTATTAAATCGATCTAAAATGCCAAGATTTACAGACAGAGAATTTGTCATGCATTTTGTGTACGGGTTTTGCAATCGCAGTTCATTGGCAGCCGTAAGAGAATATCAGAGAAGATTTCCCAATCGCATGGTACCTGGACGTCGAATGTTTACTGATATTCACCGGACTTTGTCAAACCATGGAAGTTTTCAGCGCATGCAGGGCCCAGGCAGGCCACTGGGAAATCATCGTATGGATATTGCTTTAAATATGTTTGATAATAATCCGCAAATAAGCATACGAAATGTTTCAGAAATTATGGATATACCTCGATCAATAGTAAGAAAAATGTATGAATACCTATTAGATAGTTATCCTAAAAATAATAATTTTAGACAGGAAGAATGACAAGAATTCAAGGATTTCATCCTTATCATTTTAAACGGGTGCAGCATGTAACGGAGGCAGATTTTTTCCCACGAATCGAGTTTTGCCAGTGGATATTAGCAAATGAAAACACTATTCCTAGTATATTATGGTCGGATGAGTCAATATTTACTAGGAATGGTGCTTTTAATTTCCATAACATGCATCACTGGTCAGATGAAAATCCAAAAGTTGTTCGCCGTACAAATTTCCAACATAGATTTTCATTGAACTTATGGGCAGGAGTAATTGGGGATCAAGTAATTGGACCTATTGTACTTCCCAATCGTCTTAATTCAGAGGTGTATCTGAACTTTCTTCAGAATGAGCTGATGGATATTAGACCATTGGATGTGCGCCAGCAGTTTCAAGAAAATGTGTTTTTTCAACATGATGGCGCCCCTGCACATTTTGGACGCAATGTTCGAAATTGGTTGAATATCAATTTTCCAGACAGATAGTTAGGCCGAGGAGGCCCTATAGCGTGGCCGCCACGTTCACCTGACCTAAATACATTGGATTTCTATATTTGGGGGTCATTAAAAGACCTAGTTTACTCGACTGAAGTAAATACTCAAGAAGATTTACTTCAAAGAATCCATCAGGCTGCAAATGAAATAAGAAGAAAAAGGTTTTCCACTTTTTGGGCTACGCAATCATTAGTTCGTCGAGCGAGACTCTGTATCCAACAAAAAGGGAATTTATTTGAACACTTATTGTAAAGCTAGTTTTAAGTATATCCAACTGTATGTCTTCTTTTTTAAATAAATTTCAATTTCGTTCGTAGACAAAATTTATTTCTTTTGTTTTTGCCTAAATGTTAGCTATGTTGCAATAGAAATATGTATTTATGTAATATTTACCAATTATTAAATTAGTTTTTTCGTTGCCAAGGCTAATTATTCAACAATTCATTCAAATTCGCAGTACATTTCCTATCATGTGACAAATGTTTTAGTTTGATTTTATTCAAAAATCGCACAATTTATCGATGTTCAATAAGAGTACCTTTTTTATGTAGAAAACCCTAAATTTTCAAATTCTAAAATTGAATTTCAAAAATAGAATCACACAAAAATTTTGTGACTAAAATAACCTGAGTACGTCCCTGTTACATACGCTTGCAAACAAAACTGTCTAAAATTGTTAATATTTTTAAATCCAGCATAAAAAACTAGGCTAGAATACCAAATTTTATGTCTTTATCTCAACACGTTTTGGAAATATTAAGGAAAAACCATCTTCAGGGGAGCCCCTTTAAAAGACCGCAGCGCCCTTAGGGGCCGTTTGTCGACCTATGTTTATATAAACTTTTCTTCCTATTTTAAGCTCTAGAAACCGCTGGTAGAATATTGCACACTTTTTTTGGGACACCCTGTATAATACTCCAGCTTCCACGAAGGCCTAAGGCCTGAACAACCATGAGGTATCGTGGGGATATAGGGGTATGTATACAGGGGACAGGCGGGGGTGTGTGCATGCAACATGCACAGATTTTGGCCCCACCTACGAGGTCCGTCGGGTGATACCTCCGCGTACGACAGTCAAAGACCATAAAATAACTGGAATGTTATCTACTCCGAACAACAGTAATTAGATTTTCATAACGGACTAACGAAAAGGGTAATACAATAATTCTGTGATAATACAGCAGTAGTGTTACATGCAGAAAAACGTTAATTGAATGAGCCGAGTTATACACTAAGACGAGGTCTGTAAATTAAGTGATGAGATTGGCTTTTTTCAATTTTTTTTCGCTGGCTGAACGCTCTCAATGATATGGACCTCGAAGGCGCAAGCATGAAAAGGTGCTTGACAGACTTGGAGCATTTAGAATAGAAAAGAATATCGAAAATGGACCGAAAAATGTTGCCAAAAAGATGGGATTAGTACGTAGGCCTGAGGCAGGTAAACATAGGACCTTCTTAGATCCTATTATTAGGATACTAGGATAATACGAACCCTAACATAACTGAAATGAAAATGGAATTAGAATAATTCTGGGATATTACAACAGTAGTGTTATATGCAATGGCGCCGCTAGACCATAGGTATATGGAAGTCGTCGACATCTGCTTTACGAGCCTTCTTGGATTTCCTATTAAAAAAGGTTAAATTGAATGAGCTAAGTTATACACTAATATATTGGTGTATGTGTCTTATTTATAATTAAATAAACAAACACTAATTAAGATAGATGAACTTTTCGGTTTTTCTCCTTGCTTAATTTTAAGATTGTTTCATAACTAACACCGCCGCTATTTCTGCTTCAGTTGATATAATTCATGAAGCAGATTGTATCTCTCAGCTTATGGTGGTTCTTATCGTAGGTCTGATTCAACTTTAGCTTCGAGAAGCTGTACTGACTGGAACTAGGACCACGATACCAAACATCTTGGATACACTTCTTCCAAATTATTTTCTAATACAGGGTGGTCCATAAGTCCTTTGAAATTTCAAATTTGAATAAAATTTAACGGGTGAGCGTGAGCGGCGCGGGCGAGGTGGGGGCAGTATCTTCAGTGTCTGGGAATTCAGTCGCCATGGAGTGTTTCACTGGAGCGGATCGTGCTTTTTGTGTGCGCGCGTTTTATCAAAATAATGATTCGG